AAAAATGATGCACGAGGTGCAATGACCTTAGCAATATTTCTTAAAGGAAGAGCACAGAACGTTTGATCACTCCATTTTCAGTTGCACTGGTGCTATCAAACGTCAAGGAAGTTCAAATCCTGTACCTCTTTCGTTTCAGGAGCCCAACCTTGCCTCCTATGTCTCCAGCTTCTGTTCCTCAGGTTGGACCATCAAGAAGGAGAGCAGTAAGGAAAAAATATCCTTTTACTGGCATTCTTTATCATCGCCTTGTTCGGCTGGTGACTCAGTCACCTCTACAAGTGCACTTGATAAGATAAAGTGCAATGCTAGACCAAGAATGACTGCAGACACTTTTTTTCTTTAACAAATATGCACAGCCCTGGGGAAAGCTACAACTTCCCAAGGTAGTGTTGGCTTAATTAGCACCTACTGTTGGCTCAGGGAGATGAGGAGCTGAGATTTTGAGTGCCCAACCCCCTCTTACCATGCTCCTACTAATCTTCAGTATGAAGTCCACTAGAATTTATGACAGCTCGGCTGGGATCTTCATTTTACATCATTTTGCCAATTTGCATTGCTCAGTTTTTCCACAGTAACTAGAATGTTTGGCCACAAGTTACAACTTTGCAATGGGAAGGCTCCCAAAGTAAAATCCTGGTTGTTTACCCAGTTCTGCAAATAATAAATATCTAAAGTGAGTCAGGAGAATTCTCCTAGGCTTTCCTGCAGTTACGCCTTGTAGAAGAAATGGTGATACTGATGTGCAACCAGGGTGTTGGTCACTTTCTTCCGTGTGCTTCTCAGAGATAGAGACTATATGGATTCACAGAGAAGTGATTCAGGACGTTACAAGTGAAAGCATTCCGGCATAACATCACTGGATGCCAAGCCAAATAAAGAGCCAGAAAACGTATAATGTGCACCCAGCAGCCTGTGCCAGAGGCCAGGGACTGCACTTGGGGAAAATGGGAAAGAGGCTTTACGTGTGCTCAGGAACCAAAATATTACGGCAAGAAATGTTAGAACAAGTGAGGTCTAAGAAAGGTGCAGTTGGGCGGAACTTGGTGAGGGAGGACAGCGCCTTCATCCAGCAGATAGAGTCAAACACACTGCCTATAGTTTGACATCTCCAAGCCGAGAAGAAAGATACCCCAGTGACTCCCTGATTTTTTTAAAGCCAAGGTATGTGACTTATCACAAATCAAAGACAAAGCACTAAAATATGAAAACCAAGGGAAAAGGTAGAATGATTTGCTACTTTTGTGTTCCCCAGTTAACCACTGAAATTATTCAGGATGATAATAGCATTTTCCGTACTACTGTAGCTTAAATAGCCCAAATGTGGCTCTGAGTTCTGGACTCAGACTCCGTCTACTGTGTCTGAAATACTGTGGTTGGCCATCTGATGAAGAGGGGGGTCCATGGCCACAGACATCTCACTGTCTGGCCTTGACGGTCACCCAGGGAGTCGGTTCAGAGCTAACAATAAGACAGCAATAGAAGAGGCGGGTTAATTCAAGCCAGTACGTAGCACATGCCAGATGAATGATGTGGCTAGACTTTGAAAGGAAGGTGGGATCGTTCTGGTCGCGGCAGCCTGGAGATGGAAACTGCCCTGTGGATGTTGCATTTCTATTGGCCAGCCAAGCCGTCAACAGTGAAAACCAGTCATCACCATGCACCTTCATCGATGGAAATCACCATGGAACAGTTCACTTGGTAAGAGTGGGTCTGAAGTGAACCAGGAACAAAATGTGTGTATTTAACATGCAGTATAAAGTTGCACCAACAATTGCTAAGGCAATGAAGCGCCATTTGAAGAAGGCAAGAGGAGACCGGATCACCACCGGGTCCATGCCAGTGGTGCTGTGCAGCTCATCTCTCCCAAGTCACGCTGTGTGTGGGGACTCAGAGTCACCTAGGAGACCAGCCTCTGTACAGAGCGTCAGGGATTTCCTGCATCTAACTTTTTAAGTCTACATCTTCCCATTTGACAAAATTGGATCTTCCATATGTTCTAGTAAATGTCCAGTTGGTGTTAACAAATTAGGATACCATGACTAGATTAACACTTTAAAAATTTTGCATTAAAATTTGACAGTTGTCTACAAAAGAGCTGGGGACACACAGGGAAATAGGGTGACCAGCCATCGTGTTTTCCCCAAGTGCAGTCCCTAGCCTCTGGCACAGGCCACTGGGTGCATATTATACGTTTTCTGGCTCTTTATTTGGCTTGGCATCCAGTGATGTTATTATGCCGGAACGCTTTCATTTGTAACGTCCTGAATCATTTCTCTGTGAATCCACACAGAATATACCAGAATATGAGACTTTCAGGGTTAATGCTGGGACAGTAGTGGGAAAACCAGGATGACCTGTCCCTCTACAGAGGAATCACATGGAGGTAACATTTCTATTAATTACGTTTGAGTTTGGGGATAATTTTTGTGCCATCCCATTAAAGAGGAATAGGAGAAAGCCCTAAGGCAGCCTCAGGGTTTTCCTGAGGCTGAATTCTTTTTTGTTTGGAATGGTGCTGGGAAGATGGCAAAAATTCCAGAGGGGAATGGAGGCTACTCTCAGTCTCATTTGCTCCCCTGCTGGGAGCCCCAAGGAACAAAAGGAGACAGGTAACTGGAAACCTGCTAGAAGAGTCCACAGACAGGTGACCTGCCCACTGGAGGCGGGTGGATTTGTCCTACAGAACCTGGTTTAAAAACTAGTAAATGTGCCTGTTTCTGTTTTGTAAATAAGTTCATTTGTGTCTTTTTTTTTTTTTTTTAGATTCCATGTGTAAGTGAATCATATGGTATTTCTCTTTCTCTTTCTGGCTGACTTCACTCAGAATGATGATCTCCAGGTCCATCCATGTTGCTGCAAATGGCATTATTTTATTCTTTTTGATGCCTGAGTAGTATTCCATTGTACATAGAGAACAAACTTATGGTTACCAAGGGGTAAAGGGGGTGGGAAGGGATAAATTGGGAGTTTGCAATTTGCACCTCTTGGAGAATGACGGAATTGTTAGGTATTTTGACTGTGGTGGTGGTTTCATGGATGTATCCATCTACCAAAATTCATCAAATTGTACATCTGAAATATGTGTAGTTTACTGTACAGAAATTATACCACAATAAAATTGTTTAAATTAAAAAAAAACTGTAGCTGAAAACAAGTTCAAGAGCATATGAAATTTTAACTAATTCAAGAGGCCCATTCACCTGATCTTCACAAGAGGTCTTCTTCAGCCCAGAAGGAGTACCTGGCCTTGTGACAAGGGCTGGGAAAACTTTTAAAAGCCAGCTCACCTGCAAGGCCAGCTTTTCTATTCGGTTTCTGGGAAAACCGTCACTCGGCCTTAAGTGTTCAGTGCTGCCCCTGGGACTTAAGTAGTCGGCTTCTTAAGCTCCTTGTCAGAATTTGTTGTTAAGTTCAGAATCTCTCAGGTCTTTCACAGAACACAAAACAGCCAGAGTCCTCACCCTAACAAGTGCCCCTCACGATTCTGTCCAGCAAGGGACAAACACACTTATGTATTTCCTCCGCTGACTCTGAACCTTTGGTGAGGAAAAACATTAAGTGGCCTTTAAGTTCTGGGTTGTGGAAAACTGGCAGAGGAAGACATTCCTGCAGCAGGGATGGTGTTTTGGTCACAAGCTGTGGGAAAGGGGAGCAAAGTGGGAGAGAATGCTAGAAGCACTCAGCATCCTCGCCAGGCAGGATGAAACTGCTCTGGGAGTGAGCCCTCGTTTTCTTGAGAGATGCTCCAAGCATCTTCAGTAATCAGCCACTGAAGCACTGAAAGCAAAGGGTGGCTCTGGAGACAGGAGCCGGCCCCTGCTTCCACTTTGAGTTAAATGCCTGGGGACACTGCTCTGTTTCTCACCTAATCTGGTGCAGTATTCACGAGGGCAGCTTCTCACACCCACGTCTTTGGTGTAATCATTCTTACTGCTCGACCAGAACTTCATCAGTGTCAGCCCAGCGGCCACGTCTGGGGGAGAGGGTGTCAGGTAGCCTGTGGCCACATCCTGACAGCCCCGCACTATGACACTTATAGCACTGTTTTACACCATTACAAACTTGTACATAGGTTTCTGACACTTGAATAAATGATACGGGTACAAACGTGTGTCAGTGGAGCTTAGCAGAGCACGGCACAGTGTACGAGAACCTTCCATGAGGTGTTGATAAGTTCCTGACTCTGTGGATGCTGTGAAAGTCACTCTCTGGTCCTCGGGGTCTTATCTGGAATCACTAGGAGTCTGGACAGGATGCTCTCCGGTCTCCCTCAAGCTCTAACCAAGCCTTTGTGATTCTTCTTCTTGCCCTTCTGGAACACAGCCGTTCAGGGCAAGTTAGTTCATTCCTGTTTAGTGACTTAAAAGTCTGAATCTGGAAGGTAGACGTGAGAGAGAACCAATCTGAGCTCTGAGTTCATAGTTTAAAAGACTAATAACTACATAAACTGTTAATGTTAATTAATGAAACGTGGCTTTGATTCTTCTGATGTTGAAAGAGGAGAGTAACTTTCTGTCCCCTGAGGCCATAGGCAGGCAAATTTGACCTATATTCTCTCGTAATTAATGAAACACTCTTAACGATTCTGTGACCCAAGCATTTTTCTAGATCCCTCCCATCTAAACGCTGTGAGGCTAATGGCAGAGCTGCATCATGAAGCTGACCCGGAGTTCAGCTCTCTTGTCTCCTTTTACCCCCTGGACTCTTTTAATCGTCACCATTATTTGTTCTGTTTCTCTTTCCCGGAATGTGTACAACCCTTCTTTATTTCCACCTATAGGGATCTTGTCTGTTGAGCTTGACTGACCCCTGTTCTGGAAGCCTTACCTTCAAGCTCCCAGGCAGAGTCCACTGCCCTTCCAATGGGCTTCTAGAATATTTTGATCATGTAGCACTTACTACAATGTACTACCCAGCTATTTGCCTATCTCTCTGCTGAACTGCAGTTGACTCCAGTTCAGGGACTGTGGCAAAGAGAAGGCACCCAATTTAGTTATTAGCCAAACAACACGGACATGATACCGATAACTCTGGGCTCTATTAGCGATAGAAGGGAGTCTTTCTGGCACTGGGAGTCACCGACCATGTCCACAACAAGACCACGCGCATCTTACGCCAGACTCCAGTCTTGGTGCTGAGATCCCCGATATTATTTTGGTTGGAAACCAGGTGGAGTGGAGGAGGAGGGTGGGAGACGTGGAGGGAGTGAGGGGCCGTGATAGGGGGAGCTGGCGTGCCGGGGGAGGGAATCACTCCAGCGTGCACAGGGTTAGTGACTTCGGCCAGCGCGGTTGGTCGTCTGCCCAGATCTTGTCGGAGCTCCTGCACCACTTCCGGGCGCCTGTGCCGACGCCTGTGTGTGCGTTACCCCTGAGGACCCGCAGATCCTGTGACCAGCTCCGCAAGGGTGCCCTGGACCAGAGGAGTGCCCTCTTTGCAGATGCAGAGAGCCAGAGCACTTGGGAGACTGCATGACCCGTCACCCTTTCTGTTCCTAGCCCAGGCTGACTGGGGCGAGATCACGGAAGCCCCACTACCTCATTACCATCACCCATTACCCTTACCCGAGGTGCTACTTTTATGCCAGAACTCCCCCGAATCAGGCGGGGAGCTGGCCTCGGCCTGAGGTCTCACACTCCCTTGACTTCTCCCCTCCTCCAGCCGGCTCCCCAACTCCCCCAGGTTCCTCCCAGCAGTGTTTCTTTGCTAACGTGCACAAGCAACCTTGTCTCACACGCGCTTCTCCAGCGCCCACTTAAGACAGGATTTCAACCCAAAGGCTTCCTAAGACAACTTCTTGCTGGGCAGGCCAGAGGCAGGGGCTGCAGAATACTGAAATGTCTGAAGAGCATCCTTCACCCTCCATGGTTCACCTGCACTCAGAGGGGAATTTTACAAACCTCAGATGAGGACAAACTGGAGGCAACTGACCAGATCCCGCCTAGCCCATGGAGGACGCTGTAAGCTGGGGTGGGGGTCCCAGGTGGTTTCCAGAAGTTTTTAAATCTGACATAACCCCGCATAAGCAGTTCCATATCTAACCCAACTGAAACAGATCTGTTCGAAGGTAAAAATGTGTATTTTTCCCTCTCATCATACTTGAAGGTTTTTCTGTCTTGATTGAAGCCAAGATGAGAATTGGAATTGCTGCAGCCTTTTTAATTTTTATTTATTTTTAGGAAATTATTTTTGGGAAATGGTTCTCTTGGAAAAGCTGGTTCTTGTGATCTTTTCTGCCCCGTGTTCAGACATCTTTTTAGAACTTTGGATAAAAATCCAGACTTTAGATGAATATTCTTTTTACATTTGACACACATGACAGTCTTGCTTTCAGTTAAGTGGAAAGAAAGGAAGAAGGAAAGACAGACAGACAGAAAGACAATTTACTGAATAGTCACTCATGTTTTCTGTTTTAGGCTAAAAGGTCAATAGCATTGATCATCTTCCACTACAAAATGATTAGCTGTGTTATTTGAAGACAGCTCATATGGTAGATTGCAGACCCGACTCCTTAGAATCAGATTATGATGTAACTTTTACTCATTGGATGGGAGGGAGAGTGAGTGACAAACACTGTTATGTGAAGATTAATAATTTGCCTTATTTCCCTCATTTACCCTCAGAAACTTCCAAAAATACTTAGATCATTGAAGTATTAAAACATACAGAATAAAACCTATCCCTGGTGACAGAAGCTTCATGGTTGCTGAGTCTAGAATTTTCCCACTCACCTCTCAAATCTTCAGGCATGTGTTTATTACGCCTTCCCTCCTTTTGTGAATTCCGTCAGCTCTTCAACCTCAGGACCTAATTGTTCCACATCTCCCCAAATAAAAAAGAACAAAACTAGCTTAACGTCACCAAAATGAAGAATATTGTCTTAAATTTTGAGTGATTTTGTGTATTCATACTGCTTCGGTGTTTCTCCTTTCTCCTTTCATCCTTTTTAAAGGCTGTTATGAATGGATATGAGCTGTACTGTGTAAGGTCCTGCAAGAACTAAAACTTGCCAGAGGATTAGCCTACGATTATAATTCATGTGATGTATTACTTGTTGCTCACAGGAACCTACACAGGCATATGTATGCCCACAATAGACTAATCTGAGAAGAATGCAGCCTAATGCAAACTGCGTGGGTGGTGAGTGAGAAGAGCTGCTTTGAGCCTCAACCCACCTCCTTCTGGCTGTGTGACTTTGAGAAAATCACTTACCCTCTCTGGTTTCCACTTCCTCGCCCTTAAAATGTGACTAATTATGCCTTTGGGGATTTGAGCATCCAATTAATCACATTTCTAAAAGAGCTTTATAAATTGAGAGAGAGCACTCAAATGTTAGTTTACTAATAAGAGCTGAGACTGGAAATATGCATTAAAATAAGAATGAAAGTTCACATGTTAACAAACCATGCCATTCATTTATAATCTTTCACCAGTCTACTTGACAAATTAATTTTTTGAGGGGCTATGATGTGTCAGACGTCCCTCCAGGAACACGTAGCCAACAAGTCAGGTGTGGCTGAGCTCTGAGATGGAGCAGAGACAGTCACTGATGAAGAGGACGATTTAGACAGCGCTGGGTGAGGTACAAAGTGAGAGGGAGAGCTGAGGCACAGAGGTGGGGCCACAGGCAACGAGGAGGCACCATTTGGGCTAAACCTGAACAGTGATGAGTGATAGAGAAGGTGAGTGAAGAGGGAGAACTTTCCAGGCGGAGGGAACAGCTGGTACAAATCATCTGGGGTAGGATACGGTCAGATCGCACAGTGAGTTTTCCCTTTTGTGTTTTCCTCCCCCTCTGTGTTAACCCATTTTAGATGGGAGTTTTATAACATCCTCCCTCCCGTGAGGTCTACCTGATTCTAAGATCTGGAGGAAGACCACCAGCGTGAAGCAGTCTGGACCTTACGTGGCTTCTCCATTGTCTCAAGCCCTGAGCCCCTGGGAGCCCAGTGTCCTCTCTCAGGGGCCACCGCGCTCTCCCCGGCAGCCAAGGAAGACTTGCTTCATGGGAAAGAGAAGGACAGGAGGACGGAGAGCGATACAGCGTTCCCACTGGGGAGGCTGGGACAGGGAGTGACAGATGCCTGGGCCTGGAATCAACGGAGAGGAGGGGAGGAAATGGGGGAGGTCTCAGACCTTCCCCCCTAAAAGCAGAGTAACACCTCGCCCTTTCCTGCCTTCATTTCGTTCAAGCCCCCAGAACAGCTGCAGCCGCATGCAGGGAGGATGAGAGGGTACACAGGAGTGTGGGACCCCAAACGCAGGAAAGGGGACATATCTTCTTCCAGCATATCAGATTGCTCCCTGTTCCCTCCAATTTAAAGCAGATGCAGAGCCCTGCCTTGCCCAGGCGCCAAGGCAGGGGACTGCGGGAGTGTGCCTTTGTCTCCTGGGCGACAGAGACGCTTTGCTTCCCTGCAACGTGTTGTCTCTGGATCAGTGCAGGGATCTCCTTGGAGACAGTGCCGGCGGGAATCCTCCCTCTTAGGATTTACCAGCGTCCACTCTGGCCACGGGACAGCTGGTGACCCACAGGGGCCTTGGACTGGCCTCCCTTGGCAGCTGCACAAAACGGCTTGCTGGGACACACAAATGCGTCCCAGAAAGAAGCCCGCTGCCTCTGTTTCCAGAGACTGAGAGACGGCTCTGTTTCGAGGATGGAATTCTGACCATTTCTCAGAAAGGTCCTAGACTCTGCAGACGAATGCTGGGGACGATTTCAACATGGAATCTCAATCCCAGCTTCTGTGCTGCAGAAGAACTCGATTTTACCCATATCTACCCAACTTCTCCACGTTCTGAGATCAGGGAAGACACAGGCTATAGGAACAGATCAACATGGCCATAAGGGGACTGAGTTAAAAGCACACAGTGTCCCTCTGTTTATACACAGATTTGGCACACGTGTCATCTGGATGGGTTCATTCCAATCTTCCCAAGAGGAGGGGCTTTTGTTAATATTCATTTGGAGCGGAGGGGGGCGAGGAGGAGAGAACGGGGGTAAAGGAGGGCTTGTCAGAAAAGATAATCTGGTTATTTATTTATAGTTTATTTCCGCAAAGGGGCCTTAAAAAAAAGGCTTTGATAAGAGTGACCAGAGTTTCTTAAAGATTAACTGGCGTCCTTTAAACGGGCATTAGCTTTCTTTTATACAGGTGTTTGGAGGACTCGGGACTGGGTGTCCATTAGAATCTGTCTTGGGTCTGTGGATTCCCTTAAGACACACTGCTGACATCGTGGCCTCCTTTCTCAGATTTCTCTCTCTCTCTGTCTCTCTCTGTCTCTCTCTCCCTCTCTCACTTTCTCTCCTTCCCTCCCTCCCTCCTTCCCCGGCCCTCCCTCCCTCCACTCAATCTCTCCCAATCTCTTCCTTTCTCTCTTTCAGTTCCTTCAGGTAAATCCTACCCAAGCTTGTACCAACTTGTTTTTGACTGACAGCAAACTGCAAGAGTGTTTTCTTCATTCTAAGAGAAACTTAGAGACCTGTCCCTCCCAGGGCAACCTGCGTGGACGGCTCGTCCCCTCGCCTCCCTTGTCCTAACTTCCCATCCAGCCAGGCTTCTGCATTCATCCCTCCTCACAGGTAAGAGGTACAGGCTTCCGTCAGTACCGAGCAGGCTGCCCGCTGGAGACACTGCGGAAAAACTTGACTTCGAAAAGGTAATGAAAAGCCTATGATCCTTTTAAAACTGACTTAAATCATTCAAGACGTCCAAGCTTATCTGGGGGATTTACAAGTGCTGTTTGCCTGTGGAAAACGGGTTTTTACTTAATGATGGGGCAGGAAAAAAAAAAGGTGGGGGGCTTTATTCGTGCCTGTAAAACAATATCCAGATGTTGTCTTGTTTGCTGTGGGTGTAAGAGATCTAGATGGAGAGAAAGAATTGCTCTGCCTTCTCTTTGCAAGTGTTTTTCCTCCTAGTGTCTGTGAGAGCAAGTTTGTTATTGATTTTCAGTGATTATATAGTTTGGGGGGGGCCGTCCTTCGGCATGTACTTCCCTGTCAGTGGAGAAATCAGTTTAGGCTGGCGTCAGGCAAAACCTCACCAGAATATTTTAAAATCTGTTACCTATCCTCATGAGAAAAAAAAAAGTTATGTAAGTTTTCCGTGGTAGGTATAAGGAATGTAAACAATTCTGACTTTGGAAACATTAGGAACATGGTTCCCAACCCATGGATAATGGGTTTTATACCCTGTGTATAATTTCATGGGAGTCTAGACTGTTCTCAGCTAATAAATGTTATACTGGGTGAAATTTCCATGTTGTTCCTGTGAGGCTAGTTTTTTTTGTTTTTTTTTTTAATTCTCCTCTCTGCACTTCCGTGTTTAGCTGCCTGAAGGGAATAAGAATGTGTTGTTCAACAGAGGTCTCTTGACCTCATGATTTCTTTAAGTCACCGGTTAGGAAAATTACAACCAAGGCAGCATTCAACTTGGCAAAATTAAAGACCAAAATTTGTCCCACTTCATTCACACATTTCAGTTTACCTCTTCTGATCAGAAGATATCTTAATCTTCCTTTTTTGTTTTTACCTTAAAGGGAGGATTTTGAAAAAAAAATCACAAGCGATTCTTTAAGTTCCTTTTCTGAAACCTCAGAATCACACACACACACACAATTGTCAATCCCAGATCCTACCCCTTTTTCTCCCTCTCTCATAAACGTTTAAACAAATATGTAATGATCAACAATAGCCTTAGGTAATAAGTTCTCTCAATTTAAAATTGTCCTAAAAATCCAAAGAGTCAAATACAGAGACCGTGCGTTTTGAAATGCCATCATTTTATGAAAGCTAAGTATCAGGAGACTTCTGCTCGAACAAGTAAGCTCTTACCTTACACACGGCTCCCCTTGGCGCTGTTCTTCCCCTGGGTTGTACTTTTTAGCCATTTTCCTCCTTCCCTAGTCATCAGTATAATAAATGACCACGCAGGGGGCAACCCAGAGGTCGTACGACAAGTCTCCGCAAAAGTTTGGAAGGCAGAAAAGCGTCACCAAGTAGCCAGTAGCCGGATCTCAGAAATGCTAAGCAAATGACGGAGCTGACAGGTCCTCACCAAGTTAAGTAAATGCATAAGGAGTTTGGGGGGGTTAGAGAAAGAGACAGCTGATTTGTGTGATTCTGGTTGCTTAAGGAAAACACATTTTTAAAAATCCCTCCCACCCTCTCACCACTCCTTCCTCCCACCAACAGTTGTGGTCATTTTACAGAAAGAGCTGTTTCCCCAACTTCCCCTCCCCACACTTCCAGCCGGTGCAGACAGCCCGTGTTTGGGGGGGGAAGGAGGGAGACCCGAGGCTCCCCGCTGCCAGCAGCCCCGAGGAGCCAACAAAAGCAGGTCCGCTGGCTCCCTGCACGCTCTCGCTCTGCCTTTGCGTGGGGGAAACCATGGAAGGGCTGAACTTTCTTGTTTTGGGATGTGCCTGTGTAATTATACACCTGAAAGACAGCATGCTTCATACAAGAAAAACCACCAATGTGTGGCTTTAGGCACCAAATAGAGGCAAACTTTTTCAGGCCGAATCACTCATGTCAAGCACCTGACACCTTTCCTGCCGCACCTCCTCTCATGTCAGAGACACGGGGCAGCCCACCGACGTCCTTCCTCCCGCTGCTTCAGGGTCCAGAGCTGATGGTCGAGTATTTCTTTGCCTGGTGGACACAGCAGAATCTTAGAACCGGCACAAGGGTCCACAGGGTCAGCTGTGAGCGTGGCAGAGTTGCCGAGGACTGCTGGAGGCATGTGAGTTCCCTGACCATTTCCTTCGGCCGCTACGCTGCAGGCAGCCCAGCTGACCCCCGCCCCCCCCCTCGGCAGCAACGCCAGGGCTTCGCGCGGGGGCGCATCAGGTGTCTCCAAAGGTGCGGTGTCAGCGCTTCTTTTTTTAACTTAAAATTTTTTTTAATTGAAGTACAGTCAGTTTACAATGTTGTGTCAGCTTCTGGTGGGCAGCACAGTATTTCAGTCATACATGTACACACACATATTCCCCCTCATATGCTTTTTCATTATAGGTTACTATGAGATATCGAGTATAGTTCCTTGCACTACAGAGCAGAAACTTGCTGTTTATCTATTTTATATGTAGTATCAACCCTTCTTTTCAGTAAACATAATTCTGCTCCAGAAAGAGTCCGAGAGCCATGGCAAGAGTTAATGTTAGCTTATGCTGGCCGAGCAGACTGTGGTGCTTGTTAATGGGTAAGTGAAAGGTGCACGGCAGACCGAGGTTATGACCCCCGGTCCTCTCTCCAGGCCTTCATCTGTGACTTGTAGACACACCTGGGGAGGCGGCTTGGGTGCAGTTGGAGCGGCCGGGCTGGGCAGGAGCAGAGCAGAGGAGCAAACTGAACTTGCCCTGTGCCCCTCAAGGGTGCAGCGTCACAGAAGGGGGCAAGTCTGACTCAACACACCTGGCTCTTTGCTGCCACTCTGGTGGTTTTCTGCCACCAGTTTTAGAAATGGGGAGAGTGCAGTGTGGCCAGAAGTAGTCAAACCCTCCGACAATCAAAGGAACCAAGGGCAGCCTGCTTCCCACCTTGGAAGGGAGAACTGAGGGCACAGAGGAAGAGAGAATAACTTACAATCTAAAAGCAAAAGCTCTGGGAAAGAAGTTTCATTTGCTCAGTGTTACTTTGTTAGGAGAAAAGGGGGAAAAATGAGCATGTGGGCATTCCTGCTAAAACGCAAAGCCAGAAAGGGGAGACTGAGAAATGGCTGCCCACACCCTCCCCCGGCCGGCAGAATGCTCAGTGGGCTGATGCGGACAGTGATGTGGGCAACTCCTCACAGTGCAGCTGGAGTCCACATAGAAAGTTCAGCCATATTCCCAGGGCTTTTCAGCCAAAAACCATTTTTGCTCTTCTGATAGAGGCTGGTGCCTGTGAGGAGTCTGTACACCTACCTTCCCTTCGATTGGTATCATGCATCACCTGATGAAGGGCTCCATCAGCCAACAGTCACTGCAATCCAGTTTGATTCTAGACGTTCACACATGGCCTAACTCCAGAACACAGTCTGTGCTTCCGGACCTAAAATCCTCCAGCACAGAACTCTAGATACGTTAGTTATGAGATGGAGATGAACTTGTGTTGCCTGATCAGGTTCACGGCATCAGAAGATACATAAGGACAAGCGGGTGGTCTGTGGTACCGAAACACACCCTTCCATAGGAAACAGTGAAAGAGAAGGCAGCATCTGTGCTACCTGGGGGCTGAGGACGTAGAGGAGATGCTGGAAAGAATCAGCAACAGAATGAGCACAGTTTTCTTTTGTTCTTCCCTGTGACCCTGCCGCTCAGACTCAGAGGAAGCTAGAAGTGTATTGATCCACATTAAACACAGCAAGCCGTTCCTTCCTGTGGTGTGGTGGAGGGGTCTGGTCTGTAACCAGGGGCTGCACTGGCTGCTTATGCCCACATTTAGGGTTCCAGGTTCAGGGAAATGACCTCAGGGTCTGACTGTGTCTCTGGGATGACAAATCCCACCCATCCTCAGAGTCACCATCAGGGCCATCGGAATACAAAGGAGTGGCTCAGAGGAGGAACACCGCAGAAAAGGATCCAGTTCCCAGGCTGTTTTGAGGACCCAGGTGGCCAGATTTGGGTTTCAAGCCACATGCTATTTCAGTCCACGTTGCCCAGGTCGGGAGCTGATCACTATGAACTTCTTGTGAGTTTTCTCCAGTGCTGGGAACAGAGGCTGATCAATATTTTACAAAGCTTGAAGATGCTACAATTTTAAGGGCCCTCTTTAAGGGAAAGGAATGATTGAAACGATGACTATAAAATTAAGTACAAAATTTGGAAAGGGCTAGGGCAAGGGAGGAGCCCTGAAGCTTGCATTCCATTAACTTCATGAGAAATCCACTCTGTGTCATAGGTAATAAAGGCTCAATACTTGTTTCCTGAAGGCATGGTTTATTAATTTATGTAAATTAGCTGCTGGCTGCCCTCTAAGTAACTCTGAAAAATGATAAGCAAAAATATCAAATCATCATGTTTATACACATCTGATGATCGGTGACATATGGAAGCTGATCTGAGTGATGCCTAGAACGTTTCTCATTTCACTGGCAGATTGTCGTGAAAGGCAGATCCTTGAACCGTGGCCGAAACTTCAGGTCGTTACTAAACCCAAGGGTAAGATGCTATCCAAACTCTGTTTTCCCTACAGCAGAGGATGTGGGAACTGAAACTCATGGGGCACTTTTTCCATTTGAAAAGCCCTCAAGTTAAAACCCAAAGAACATCATGCTAATTGCGAGCCTAGAACCTGGACAGATATTAGAAGCATCAGGGACACCCTTCTCTTTTAACAGACTTGAGGGTTTGTCCAGTGAAATATCTACATGTCTGGCGAGGGGCAGCCCCTTCTGTTTCTACGAATCCTGCTTCCAGTTCCAATAGCAGTTAACAGTGTCATTTCTCAGCATGAATGCTTGCGAAACCCACACCTTCCAGGCTAAATAATGCTCTGGCTCAGTGATGTTTACGGCTTCAAATATTCGCAGAGGGATATCTTGCTCATCCTCATCTTCTTTGCCAAAGAATGCAAGGTTGTTCCCCGAATGAATCTGGCTTTCTTACTTCCTCAGTTACCCCTTTGTCTAGCCCTGCCTTTGAAGAGCAACGTTGAGACATTTATCATTTGCTTTGAAATATCATGTAATCTGACATCACCTCTACGCTTCCTACCAACCCCACCCCACACACCTGTCACAAGTGAAAGAAAATATATGGGCTCTTGGGGGACACTTGGCTCCTTTGTCAAGAATCCCCTAAATGCAAGGAGTGAGAACCCACCCTGTCTTCTGCCTAGTCTCAAAAGTCCATGGAAAGAATGTATGTATAAACAGATAGTGAGCTACATTACATGCAGACATACATGTGCAAGTGACAAAGGCAATGTGGGTGTGTGTTTAGCCATAACATTAATAATGAAACTGACTGTGTAGATATAGATGGAATATTCCAATGCCAACAATGTCACAATACAGTGGTGCTTTACTTTTGGTATCTTGTCTTGTTTAATAAATTTCAAATCTATAATTTCTACCTCAGGTCTATACTGAAGATTAAGTGTCCCCAAAATTGCCTTCTAGACAGGGTTGCTATAGTGACATTGATCTTAGCATCACTCTTTAACAAATTAGGTGGGTAGCATGTCATGTGACTCAATTCTCATGGACACGGATACTGTGATAACCTGATCAAGAAACGCTCAGGGTTGCAGCTCCTGGCACCACGACCCACATGACCCCTGCTGCCTTGGGAAGGTGAGAACAGTGAGGGCTCCACTCCAGTGCCTTCATAACCCAGTCCCCTGGGAATTGGGGGGAGCCCCCTTAGAAGCTGGCCCTATGCTTCTTGCCTTAGAGGTCTGGGGGCAGGACGAATCCCCTAGCCAGAAGGCTGGAAGGAGCATCCTGAAACACAATCAAGTTTAATAGTAAAGCAGCATCTCTCCTGGGAAGTCCCGCTGGCCAGCAATGAGTCCTGAAGGGAGTTCTGTGCTATTCTTGCCCTGCAAGGAATATGAAGGTCTATGCTCCGATAGGTTTGGGAAATCCGTCAGAGTCTATAGTTCCCACTTGGAAATTCCCAGTTATCCTTATTATATTAAAAAGTCTAAGAAATCCAGCAGCAAAGGCATCCTTTAACTTTGACTTCCAAATTGTTTAACCATTCTGTACTACAGAGCTATCTCCCACCTCCCTCCACCTCCTTCCAACTATTATTCACTCCTCTGACTAGTGTGTCATGCAACCTACTGGGGACACTTTTGCTGACCATGATCGGTGTAGGGTGGAAAGTTTTCATGCACTCAAAGAAAGAATGTGTTCTGAGTTTCATACGCCACTGGGCTGTGAGATGTACTTTTAGGACTGCAGGTGACTGGCCAGCCCTTGAGCCTGCAAAGTAGTCAGGCAAAGTCAGCCACAGATAATTTATTTACTTTATGTCTCTTTGTCTCTTCATGTACCTTTTATTTCCCCAAAGGATTCATGTACATTTACAAAGACACATCCACATACCCTCCCACAAATATGACTTGAATTAAAAGTAGATGGA